TTTAATCAGATGTTGGATGACCATCTGTTACAGATGCTTTAGTTGAGATTCTTGCATTGCAGGAGGGAGAACTAGATGATGCTCAGCTCACACAGCTCTCTGATTCTCTGTGACTTCTCACCCAATGAGTGGACACTGGAGAATGAGGAGAGTCTGATTCCTTGGAAGAGCTTGTTTTCAGTGGATCTACCTTAGGGTGTTCTTATTTAGGGTTGCTGGGAGCTTTTTCAATATCAGGATATTAGGAGTGATATCAGCAACTAGATATTGCTGTTCTTCCACTGGGAAGGTGGCATGGGTTTGACTGGTTCCTTCTCCTCTGTGCCCACATTCTGGCTGACATATGAGACTGGGGTAATGAGATTTCCAGAAACATTCTGGCCAGCCTGAGCCTTCTTCATGCTGATGTGAGTTGACAACAACATTTACCCACTTTGGTACACCAGCCTAGACCTAAAGATGGCCCACTGGTCCACAAATAACTTTAGCTTTTGCGTTATTTCCATGCTAGTAGTCAGCATCTAGATATATATTCTGATTATTTATGGATCAGAGTTGAAGGCTATTATTTGTATGACACCATTCTGATTCTGTGTAATAGAATGCATATCCTCTTATATTTCATGGGTGAACATGGGGATATGTCTGTGCATTAATGGGTCACACTAGGGGTAGAGACATTCAGAATACTGATTTATTTTTTGTGGGAGGTAGAGTTTTCCTCAGGAACAAGGCTCTGAAAAAACATGTAAGTCCCAGCTACAATGGCAATGCTGGAGGGCAAGTGAGTGGGATAATTTTTATAAATGAAAGCATGCTTCATGAAACATTGACCTCATTTGTGATGGGTGAAAACTTATGCTCCCTTTCCATACGGCACCTGAAAAATTGCCAAGGGAGTGGGCACACACAGACACGCACACACACTTTTTTCATGGTGCTGACAATGAAAAGTGCCCCCACCATCTTGGCTCAGTCTGACTTTAAACACTGATTTCATTCTTGTTGTTTACAGCATCAGAAGGCAGCTTTTCCGTATGGTAAATGAAGGTCAGGTGTGTGCTCCTTCAAGCTGTGCTTTCTAACCACCAAGCATGTATTTTTTAAAAATAATCATCATCGTTAACAAATGCTGCATTCCCCCCCCCCATATGACACTGTTATATATTTAGCAAATCTGACTTTAATTACACAGCAGCTCCAGAAATTACTGTCTAAAAGGGTTAGATTTGTTTGCACTTAATACCAAAGGTGAGAGGTGACCCTTGGCTCTGGAGCTCTGGTGACAGCCCACGTTTCTCATGTTCTATTTAAGACACAGCAACAAGCATTAAACGGGCATCTGTTGCTTCAGCAGCAATTGTGGTTTCCAGCCATTCTCCATTAAAACATACCTGCATAAAAAGAGCCCCAATGGTGCAGAAAGGAGCAGAAATAGGCAGCCATGGGGTGTAGCGACAAGGCTGCTACAAGGCTGGAGCAGCTGCCTATTCAGGCAAAAGGAATAAGTGTGGATTCTGAAAACAGTTCCAAGGGCCAGAAAGGCCTGGAGAGCTGGAGTTGCCTCCACCTTGGCTTGGGGTCCACAGTCCCTCTTTTTAAAGAACCTAAGAAGAGCCCCAACAGATCAGAACAAAGGATCTATCTCATCCAGCATTGTCTTTCCCATGGTGGCCAACTTAGATGCCTTTGGTGAGCCTACAAGCAAGTACAACCTGAATGCAATGGCTTTGCTGTTCCACACCAACTGGTATTTATAAGCAAGGAAAATAAAGAACAGAAAGGAAAAGGTAAAAATTCTGTGGCTACTGACAACACCCCAGTGGAACATAACTGAATATCTGAACTGGCTCCACCATTTCCAAATAGGATGGGAAATTTTGAGAGCTAGCTTTTGCTCAGTGCTTAAAAAAAAAAAAAAGTCCTCTCAGTCCACTTTCTCCATAATTTTACAAACCTCTATAACATCCTCCTTAGTTGTCTTAACTAAAAATAGCCATGTAACAGTTGATCTCTTCATAGGAAAAGTTCTCCAACCCTATGATGATTTTTCTTTGCTGCCTCTCAGTACCTTTTCCACCTCTGTGATGCTGTTCTTGAGAGGGGGCTTATTAAGAATAAAAAGGTATGACTCGGGAGAGCAGAACAGACCCATATGAAAGGATGGCATCGTGGAGTGCTGAGCTGCATTTGGAGTATCTTTTTAATGTGCATTTTAAAGATCTTTCCAGCTTATTTATCTGATCCTGGGAATAGCAGATGCTCACATTGACAATTGGCTTCAGCCTTGTGCTGCCAAATTAAAGAAGATCTGAAAATGGGACAGAGATAGATATTCCAGTCACTGCAGTGTGTAGGAAAGAGATCATATCATTAATAGGGCAAAGGCTTCTTGCTCTTTTATATGTATTGTTGGCATTCATCTGTCTCGAGAGGCAATGGACTGCACCTCCAGGGGTGAAGTCAAACCGCTGTATTAGCAGCACTTAAGTGATCTCCCCAGGATGCAAGCCTGGGCAGTGTGTGGGGAGGTCTGGGCTTCCCTGATGACAAGCCCCCTCTTGGCCTCACTGTTGTGGTCCAAAGGAAAGAAGAGCATTACATTTTGTACCAGCTTGACTGCAGGAGTTGCCAGAATGAGGCATGCAAGATGCCATTCAGCCACCTTAGGGACTCCACTTCAGATTTGTGTAGGATTTCCCAAAGATATTCAGCAAGGATGATATGAGAGTAGAAGCTCTCTGTTGGGAAGACTTGCGGGGATGACTTAACTCTTTCCTCTAGTTTCCCACCAAATCCTTCTCAGGGGCAATTCCCTTCTCTCTTTATGTAGTCAGGTGAGTGTTACTGTTCCACCATACCATCTGATACTGTTGCATCCTGTTTCAACATTAATCTGCAAGGGTTGCAACCAAATAAGTTTTACTCAGAATAGACCCAATAATAATAATAATAATAATAATAATAATAATAATAATTTATTATTTGTACCCCACTCTGGGTGGCTTCCAACAAAGATTTAAAGTACATTAAAACATCAGTCATTAAAAACTTCCCTAAACAGGGCTGCCTTCAGATGTCTTCTAAATGTCAGATAGTTGCCTATCTCTTTGACATCTGAAGGGACGGCATTCCACAGGGCAGGTGCCACTACTGAGAAGGCCCTCTGCCTGGTTCCCTGTAACTTGGCTTCTCGCAGTGAGGGAACCACCAGAAGGCCCTCGGCACTGGATCTCAGTGTCCGGACAGAACGATGGGGGTGGAGATGTTCCTTCAGGTATATCTAAGTTCATTAATTAATTTAAGTACGTCTCTGCTGATCAGGACTAGTATTAGATAGAATCTCACATTTGATATTTTTAAAATAAATACATATGCATGAAAATATATAGTTAAATAAGGGAAAACTCAGCTACTGTTTTTACAAGGCTGCTGCCACTGCTGCTGCTTGGGGAGCACAGTGTGACTTAAATGATGGGATACAAAGGATTGAGTTTAAGGATTTCATTCTTTCCTCCTTCCTTGCTTCTCATTATGTGAGCACTAAAGTGCTCACCTCCAAAGGACTAAGTCTCACTAAGTCTGCAATTTTCTTGGAAGACAGGCCCATTGAATACACATAAATTACTCCAGAGTAGATCTGCATAGATTTCAGATGATAATAGCCAAGGTCTATGGCAGCCTAAGAACTGATGCCTTCCAGCTTCCCCTCTGTGATCTTGTTGCTGTCCAGAAAACAGGCAATACTATGTCACTCTGTTGTCACCTAGAAACATGTGTTCATTATGTTCTGGGCCACCAGCCTAAACTTTAAAGCAGTAAAGAAAATAATACAAAGGATTGCTTAAAAGATGCCTACTGCTCTGTTGTTACGAAGACAAATTCATTGCCAGAGCTCAGAAAGCATTCATCATGACTAAAGCTAGTAGTTGTGGGCACAGCTGCATGCAGTCCTGTCTTTTATTACAGCACCACCACCCCTCCCTCTACCCATTCTCTGTTTATTAGCTGGTATAATAGAAAGGGCAGGGTGAGAACAGTGGCTCACACACTCCACATGTAACAAAGGCGCTAGTTAGAGGCAGCTGGTGCACAACAGAGGAAGCTGCATAGGCTCTTGCAGAAATAGGGAAACAAGCAAGAGTTGGTAGCATGGCAGAGCAATGCTTGTTGTACATGGTAAGTTCCAGGAAGCCTGTGTGGGCTCACTTTCTTTTGGAGATGAGAATACACATGAATTGGCTTACTGTTTAATCAGCTGTTTATTTATAAATGTACACATGTATAGAAGGTATGCAAGGGTAAACATTCCAGTGGTGCCAATTCTGCAGCTCTGCCAGGGCAGAATGACACATTTTTGAGGCAAAGAAGTTCCCATATGGGTGTTAGCTTCACAAGGGTGATGTGGGAGTGGAGGCTCTCTGTTGAGAGGACTTGGTAGGATGGCTTAACTCTTTCCTCTAGTTTTTCACCCAGATGCTTCTCATGGGCCCTGCTGACTGGGGTATGGGCATGGCCAGAGACACAAATAAAAAGCTTGGGAGAACACCTGTAGGGGGAAAGATTAAACATACTCTTTGCTGCTGACTGTACACTGCCAATGGCCCTGCATTATGGTTAAGTGGCAAATATATGTTTGGAGAGGTCATGTTTGCTAAGATGACAGCCCTCTTCTTTCCACCTCCACAGAGCCAGTGGACACCATCTGCCCTGTGAGGAGGAAGAAACATGTTAGAGAGGTAGGCACAGGCAACATCAAGGAATGCTCCAGCAGGACTATTGCCTCCCCCAAATTTGCATGTTAGATCATTTGCCTCAGTACTTTAAAATTGTAAGCCACCTTGAGTGCCTTGGCAGAAAGGCAGCATACAAATGCAGTGAACACACACACACACACACACAAACCACACACACACAAATATATATAGTTACAGGTAGGTAGCCGTGTTGGTCTGCTGTAGTCGAAACAAAACAAAACAAATAAAAAATAAAAAAAATTCCTTCCAGTAGCACCTTAGAGACCAACTAAGTTAGTTATTGGTATGAGCTTTCATGTGCAAGTGTGCATGCACACGAAAGCTCATACCAATAACTAACTTAGTTGTTCTCTAAGGTGCTACTGGAAGGAATTTTTTGTATTTTGTATTTTTTTTTATTAATATGTATATTAGTGAACATAACATATACATTGCTTTGCAAAAATGTATATATTAGGATAATTTAGTACTCAAATTGTGAAGACCTTTTGTGATTATTTTTTTAAAAGCAAACTGATGTGCAATTGTGGAGAACCAAACTTATGATGGGAGGCATAAGTAACTGGGAAAAACTAACATTAACAGAATATCCCATGAATCAAATCCATGCCTATAATACAACAATAACCCAAAAATCTAGGACAGATTGTCTCTGTGGAGGGTCAATTGGTGGCAATATGGAAGCAGGCCATATCTGGCTGGTACTTGCCCTCTCTGGAATGCCCCCCTCTTATATGGGAGGCATTGGCTGTTGAGTGTCTCTGACACTCACCTGTCTGCTCAAGCTTTCCCTAGCCACTAGCACCACACTATATTTTTACATTATCTGTTTTAATCCATCTCTGTTTTTGTAGTTACAAATGGTATAAATACATATTTTATCTCTGTAATATATTTCAATATTCCTTTATAATGGTAAACAGTATTTTTTTAAAAATAGAAAGAAATATGTTTCTTAAGGTAAACAAAGATCCGCTTTGCATGCAGAAGATTCCAGATTCAATCCTTGACATCTCCAGTTATGGCTGGCAGAGATCCTTGTCTGAAATCCCTGGAAACTGTTGCCAGCCAGTGTAGGCAGTATTAAGCTAGGTAGACCAATGGTCTGCCTCACTATACTTTACAGTAGTTTCCTATGTCCCTAGATAGAGCCAGCAGAGATGGTGGGTTCAGGAGGAGTCAGCAACCTGTTTGAAAGTGGGATAAAGGGGAGACTATAGAAATGAACAAAGGAGGGAAAAGAAGTATGAGAAAGATCTCAATTAGGGTCTAGGGACAGAAGAGACTGGACTGTGATTAACTAGAAGGGGCTTGACAGGGAATGGATTTTTGATGGACAAAAGTATAGAGCATATAAAGTTGTGTTATACCAAATGAGACCATTAGTCAGCTGTTTAGCTCAGCACTCTGTACACTAGCAGAGTTTCTTTGAAGCTTTAGACAAAGGTCTTTCCCATCTCCTACCATCTCCTACTGTTAAGCTATGAACCTTCCCTGAGCTATGGGAATGGCAATAACCTACTGCTAGACCACCTGCCTTCCACGCAGTTTCAGTCCCTGCCACTCCTAGGTTGGCTGGGTGGGCCAATGATTTGACATAGTCATCTGCCCAGAGTGGAAAGAAATGGACTAGACTGCAAATATTTGAACTCACCAGATCAATCAACTTGCCATATCAATCCAAATTTGGTTATTGCTTTCCTGTTTATTTGTAGCACTTCTATTATTTCCTCTCGCTGGGAGAGGAGAGACTTTACATTTATTTAATATTGAACCTCTTTCCTTCTGTCACCTGTGGTATTTGCTGCTCTAATCTGCCCGGATCACTTTGCAGTTTTGGTTGTTTGCACTGTCCCCATGTGTCTGGTTTCAGCAGAAAATTTTCATCATGTTTGAATTTACATCAAAAGAGCACCTGACAATGGAAGTGATAAGGCAGTCATTCATCAGTTCCTTGTTGCTATATTTTCACTTCACAGAGCGGGAGGGGAACAAAAGAGCCGCGGGAAGCCCAGAGATTATGGTGAGTTACTGTTACCGAACACTGTCATAATTTCAGGGCTAGGGAAATAAAAATAGCTCAGGAGACTGCTGTCAATGGTCTGTGGAACACCCAAATCCCAACACTACCGTAGGAGGGCTAGCCAGGTGTCCTCACTTAACTGCTTTCTTTGAAAAAGAACTTCATTGGGGACCCTTCTGCACCTCTATGGAAAGAAGGAGAAGCTACAGCCTTTTGATCATACACAACGGCTAAGTAACTCCCTGGCTTCAGCTACTGTGTGCTCAGCATGAGTTCCTGGACTCCCACCCTTTATTATTTTGCCCCCCACTGTTCCATGCAGGCCTATTGCTGTGCATTTAAAATCACTTTGGGAAGATGATCTCCAAAGGCACTTTCCTTGACAGTTCATAAGGAAGAAAGCTCAGACACCAATGAGATGTCTTCTGTTTGTAGCATTCTCTCCTAGGAAATGTGTGACTCTGTCCATTTTGGTTTCTCTCTGTTTCTCTCTCTCTCCCCCCCCCCCCCCGTTCTTAAGCACAGTTCTCCACATTTCTACATTAGTTTGCAAGTCTAAATTAAAACTCACCAGCATTTTAGTGTGGAATTCTCCTGATATACACATTCCCCCCCCCAAAAAAAGCAATTTTCCCCAATAAAATGTTTTTGTGGTGGGGTGTTGTTGTTTTTTTTTTTTTGGTATGTTATTTTCAGTATGTTATTTTTTATTCTAGTAAATACATATTTGTACACGTTACTTAGCTGGAGAAATGCATTGCAAAATTCTGAGAAGTGTGAATTTGAGAAGATGGCTAACTCTCATATTTACTTGGGAAGCACAAATTAGGCAAGTCTCACCCAAGAGATTTGGGAAAGTGGAAAGTGTGTGAGAGACAGACACAATTAGATTGCATTTGAAAGTTCTGCAATATTTGTAAACAACAGAGAATTCTGAATCCAAGCCTTCACCCAGTGACAAGGATGCTGTATTTCAGCTAAGGCACTGTGGAGATTTAGTATACAGATAATGGGATTTTAAAATATGCACTTTAAACACTTTGTTCTAATCTCTTCAGGTGTGTGTTAGAAACTAATCAGGGAGAAATTGTTGCCAGGTTTCCAAATGCTGGCAGGAGAAGCAATGCGAAATAAGACACCTGTATTTGGTTCAGTGTTTTCTCCTCAATCTGCTCATTCAGAAATAAATCCTCTGTTGTGAGAAGAGCAACTCATTTGAAAATTCAGATGGATTTGTTTGCAGCAAAATTATTTGCAACCATGCCCATGTCCTATTACATGGTTTAGAGACATTGTATCTAGGATACCTAGATACAAAGGAATATGTCTCTACTTCTTGGAGTTGTATGCACCAGGGATGAGGAACCTCCAGAAGTGCTGGAGTACAACTTTCATAATCCCTGATCATTGGCTAGGTTGGCTGGAGTTGGTGGAAGTTGGAGTGCAACAATATCTGCAGATCCACAAGTTTGGTTAACACAGTAACTGTCCAGGATTTCAGATAGGAATCATTCCTAACCCTAACTGGAGATGCCATAGATAAAACCTGGAACCCCCTGCATGCAGCTCATTGCTCACAATGGCCAACCAGATGCCCACAAGCAGGGTCTGGGCACAAGAGCACTCTCCCCTCCTGCAGATTTCAAATGCTGGTAGTCAGAATAAGTTGTCTCCAACAGTGAAGGTAGAGAATATCCATCACAGCTAATGAATAGCCTTATCTTTCATAAATGTGTCTAATCATATTTTAATGCCATCCAAGTTAGTCACCGTCACAACCTGCTGTGGGAGCAAATTGCATAGTATAGCCTTGTCCAGCATTCAGCCTTATTGAATGTCTGTATCCACTTTCTCTATGCCATACATAGTTTTATACACTTCTATCATGTCACCTCTTACCTTTTCTCTAAACTAAGAGGCACCCAAATATTGCAAAGTTTCCTCATAGAGGTGTTTTGGTTGAGCTTTTCTGAACAATTTCCAACTCTACAATATCTTTTTTTAGGTGAGGCAATCAGAATGAGATGAAATGGAATGAAAACCCCTAAAAACAGGCTGCAAATTGTCATTGGACCCACCAGTTAAACTCTTTGGCTCCATTAAGAAAAAAGTTTTAGCAGTAGATACTAAAAGGATGGTTCACCTATTAACCACAGCACATATAACAATAAATTAAAACTGGGGAAAGCAAATAATTCCTACAAGGAGATTGGATCTTAATGGATCTGGTTTGTATGGTTAAATGCATTATTATATTAAGATGAAGAGACAACATATTTATTGAAAAATGAATTTTTTAATGTATTGAATTAACAGAATCCAGGAGAGCATCCAATAATATATTACTAGGAACACTCTAAGAACGACAGCATTCTTTCATTTTGATTGTGTATGATGTGTGACATTCTGTTCTTTTAATCTTCTAGAAATTTGTTAAACTGAATATTATTATAAGTGTGATTTGCAGCAATACTATAATGACTGCTATTGAAAGTAAAAACTGAAAACATACCATTAATAGCCACTGTAGTGGTCCCTGTAGGGACCACAGCACAACCTTTTTCTCTAGTGCTACAGTCCTAACAAAAGTCTCTCTCACACACACTCCATGCATAGCTGCTATTAGCTCTCACTAGAAAATCAGATACAACTTCAAATGCTATGCATGTTGGATTGCTCTGCTCTAGTGATGGGGAACCTCTGGCATGCAGGCCTAAATAAGTCCAGTGGGTGTCCTAGTTTGGCCCATGTTTCTGTTTTCCTCAAATCATTCCTACCTGCCCCCCATCTGATATTATATATGACCTCAGGTGTGGGGCAGATAAAGACATGGCTGAAAAAGTAGAAAGGGGTATTAAAGCACACTCCTAGTTGTTCTTTGACAAGGAGAGTCCACTGACAGTGCTGATTAGCTGATTCAAACCACACCTGCAAAAGGATATTTCTCCCCTGCAAACTGGCTTGGAACACAGCATTGCAGTTTACAGGAACTGCTTCAATGCAAACCATGCCTGCAAATGGACAAAGCAAGGCTCGCTCTCAATGTTGATCAGCTGATTGGTGCTGACAGTGAGGCCCCTGTGAAGTAAGCTGACACCATAATGACATCAGGTGATTGACAGGTGGGCAGCCCCATTCACTTGTCAAAGATGCCTTGGGGAGGGTGGCCCAGTTTTTGGATAAGACATACAGGCTGAAAAATATTCCCCAACCCAGCTGTAATCAAATGTGTTTCAAAAATAACCTCTCAGATCCTTAAGCAACACCTAAGGTGCAGGTATATGCTTTCCCTTTCTATTCCCCCAACAACCTTCAGTTGAGAAATCACAACACTAGACACATTATT